TAGAGAGATGGTTATCTCCATACGCTCACCCACCTTAACTGCCTCTTACAAGTTTTCTCTACCCATACCACAGTCATAATGGATTCCATTCTTCACATAGGTGTCAGATAAATAGTGTTAAATTACTCCTCAAACCTCTTATTTAGAGTATTTCCGTTGTTGCTCTTAGATGCCATTGAGTCAAGTATGACTCATAGTGACTCTATGAATAACAGATTCAAACATTTTGCTATCCTCATCATCTCTGGTGCACTTGAGCCAATTGGTACAGTTACTGTGTCAATACATCTGGATACTGATCTTCCTCTCTTTTGCTGATCCTCCACCTTTCCAAGCATGATGTTCCTCTCCAAGGAATAAGCTCTGCAACAACATGCTCAAAGTAAGAGATACAAAGCTTCACCACCTTTGCCTCCGAGGAGCACTCTGACTGCACTTCTTCCAAACTATATCTGACAGTCTATGGGATATTTAGTACTCTTAACACCACAAATCAAAGGCATCACTTATTTTTCTGTCATCCTTATTCATTGACCAGTTAGATGTGTAGTAAGTGATTGAAAGACTATGGCCTGAATCAGGCACACCCAAGTCTTCAAACTGATATGCTTGTTATTATTTTTGAGAGGTTCCTAAAAGCAGGCTTCTTCAGTGCACTATGTCACCTTATCTACTGACTGCTGCTACCAAGTGGGTTCATTGTTGATCCAAGTAAGATGAAATAACTGACGATTTCAATCCTTTCTCCATCATAATGTTGCCTATTCGCGCAAGATGAAGGCCTTTGTTTTCTTGATGTTGAGATGTAATCCATATTGAAGACTATATATAGTTCTAGATCTTCTGTAACAAACATTTCAAGTCCTCCTCACTTTGATCAAGTAAGTTGTGTCATCTGCATAACATAGGTTGTTGATGAGTCTTCCTCTGATCCTGAAGCCAAGATCCTGAAGAGTTTTCATAGAGTCCAGCTTTACAGATGATTTGCTCAGCATACAGACTGAATAATTATGGAGAAAAGATACAACTCTGACTCATACCTTTCTTGATTTGTAAACTATGCAGTGTTCCTTTGCTCTGTTTGTACAATAGCTTCTTGGTCTAGATGTAGATTTCATATAATTAAGTGTTCTGGGATTTCCATTCTTCTCAGTGTTAGCCATAATTTGTTATGATCCTTACAGTCAAATGCCTTTGCATAGACAATAAAACACAGATAGACATTCTTCTGGTATTCTCTGCTTTCAGCCAGAATATATATATGACATCAGCAATGATATCTCTGGTGCCATGGCCTTTTCTAAATCCAGCTTGGACTTCTGGAATTTCTTTGTTTATGTACTGTTCTAGCCATTTTTATATGCTGTTAAGCAATATTTTGCCTTCACGTGATGTTAATGATGTTGCTTGATAATTTCTATCACTTTCTTTGGGAACAGGAGCAAATATAGATCACTTCCAGTTTGTTGACCATGCAGCTGTCCTCCAAGTTTCCTGGCATTGATGAGCACTTCCAGGGTTGTATCTATTAGCTGAAACATTTTAATTGGTATCCCATCAATTCCTGGTACCTTATTATTTTTTTATTATACTAGTTTATTTACAAAATTCGAATACATTGTTTTTCAGATCAGATTCTTCCAATTTCCTTCACACTCACCCCGCCCCCATCAAATTGTACGACCCCATGATTAATCCACCCACCCCTGTACATCCTCATCCCTCTGCTTCTACCCTCCACCCCCTTTGGATCCTCATACTCATTCTACAATAATGGTTTTATACAATATTTGTCCTTGTAGGACTCAGCCAGTTCACTCAGCATAATGCTCTCCAGTCCCTCCCAAACTAGGTAATAATTTACAAAGTCATTACTCCTGTGTGTTGCATAGTATCCCATTGTGTGATTGTACCATAATTTCTCAATCCATTCGATTGTGGTTGGACATCTGGGTTGTTTTCATCTTCTTGTGGTGGTCAATAACCTTCTATGAATGAACATTGGTGTACACAAGTCTGGGACCTTATTTTTGCCACTACCTTCAACACAGCTTGAACTTCTTCCATTCTTTCATTTCTTGAGTCTTGTTCATATGGTACTTCTTGAAATTTTTCAGGGTTGACCAATTCTTTTTGGTACAGTGACTGTATTCCTTCCATCTTCTTGTTTGGAGGTTCTAGCAGGCAAACACAGCTACTTGTATACCCTTGACTGAAGGATGGTCCTCCTTCTATTGGGGATGGCTGTCCTCAATGAAGCATGCAGGGTCTTCCTCCTCAATCAAACATTCAGCTCCAGGAGGGACTAGCCAGCCAGATCAGTTGAATCAACGCTGACAATCAATGGGGTGACAGATATTGCAGCCAGATCACTCTCACATCCCCTTCCATCTTCTTTTGATGCTTCTTGGATCATTCAAGATTTGTTTTTAAGTTCTTTCAGCTTAAGAAATGCTGAGCTAATACTTCTCTTTTAATTCTCTGACTCCAGCTCTTTGCATAATTTGTTATATTTTACTTTCTTATCTCAAACTGCCCTTAAATCTTCTGTTAAGCTTTTACTTCACCATCTCTTCTCTTTGATTTGGTTTCTTGGTCTTTAATGGAAATTTTATAGTTTCTTCTGAAAATCTGTTTTGATTTTTTCTTTCTCTTCTGTCTTTGCAATAACTTTGCAGTCCCTTTATAGATAATATTCTCATTTTAACTTATATTTTTATCATTCACATACATTGTGTTTCATGCCTGTACATTATGTTCCATATAGTCTTTCATTTACATTCTATTTCATTTTTTTTTAATAGTGTGGCGTTATTTCTTCCCTTACAATCATCCCATCAACAACTACTTTCGTGAAAGCATATAAGCCAGCCACTTCATGCCTCATGCCCTATTTTAGATAGCCAATTGCTGACTTGCTGATCCCTATCAAGTTAGTACTCTGAGGGAAAAAGTTCATCTCTTTTGCTCAAGTATCCTCTCTTCAACTTGGAAACTTTTAGCATCAGCATCCATAAGCAAAGTCCAGTCCAGAGTAAGCCATCAGGTTGCAGCATTCAACACTAGCTTACAGCATGGATCATCTTCTCTTCATCTTGTTGGGTTCTAGTCATGTCATCTCCAGCCATCTGTGGCTAGGTTCAAATGGGCATAATCTGCAAGCTCAGAAGCTCACACTTCTCCCTGTGTTCCAGACTCAGTCCTAGCTTCCACAAGTCAATGGTCCTCATGATTCCCTGCTCCTCAAGCCAACAACCCTTCTCTGCTCATCTACACATTTTTGCCTGGTAGGTGTACAATGCTTGAACACACCCAAATTCTGCCTGTTTCCCCATTGTTGTATTTTTCATGGATAATATTCTTGATTTTCTCAACAGCTCTTTGATCACTGGTTTCAATGCCTTAAACCTGTTCTTAGAAGATATTTAAATTCAGGTGGGATGGACCCTAGGTGTTATTTTGGCTCTTGTGGACCTATTTTAATTTTCTTCAGCTTCAATTTTAACCTGCTCATGAGGAATTGATGATCTGTTCCAGTCAGCACCTGGCTCGATTTTGACTGCTGATATTGAGCTTCTCCAGTGATTCTTTCTATGCTGTATTTCATCTGATTCCTGTTCAGTCCATCAGGTGAGACCCATGTGTAAAATTGCTTTTTTTATTGTTATAAAAAGGTGTTTGTGATGAAGAAAATGTATTTGGGATGATGTGTAAAATTTGTACATTAAATGTACAACATTTAATCATTTGCCCTCCAGCTTTGTTTTTGTCACCAAGTTCATACTTTCTAACTGCCATTCCTTCTTCATTGTTTCCAGGTCTTGCTTTCCAGTCACATTCATAATTATGAATGCATCTAGATCGCATGTTTGAACAAATTGCACTGTAAATTTGGTAGAATTTCTCAATTTCTGTCTCTTGAGAGAATATTTATTTAATGTAGTCTATCATAGCTCTTTATTAACAAGTTGCCGCACACTTTTAAATTGACGACCGTGCTTAGAAACACATTTTGCCGTCATTTGCGGCAACGTGTTAATATCAGGATAAGGTCAGCCTCCTCAAATGTATGATATTAATAAATTATTAATACTCCTGCTACTTTCCTCAATTCCATACCCAAGACAGACATCAATAAGCAATCCCATAACTCTCCCATTGAACTCAGACTGGGCAGCAGAGCTTTCACTGGATGGCACTTCAAGTTAGGTTAGGCACAAAACGTACCACCTGACTACCTTTTCAGCACTGACAGGTTCTCAGTGTACACCCTGTTTGCCTGTGTTGCATCCTTTTGCCATCCACCACAATATTCTTTCTCTTTTCCATTTTCAAGCTCTACAAACACCAAAAGATGCTTGGCTATGCCTTATCTCTCCCATCTTGTATCCCCAGAGATAGATGCATCCAGGAACACTGCATGTATCCTTTCCACCTACTGATGCCTCTGCATTTAGCTCAGAAGACAGGCTAATTTTCTTATGTGTAACTGGCTTTTCTAGATGAAAGAGGCAACTTATTTATTGGATCTTGCATTCTATCCACATAAAAAGGCCAGTAAGCCTTCCTCATAAGTTATAGTAATGATGAACTGAAGTGCTATTTGTGAAATCCCAGGACTGGTGGACAGAAGTCTGGATTGACCAAATAAACTCTGGGATAATGCTTGGAAAAGTTAAGAGGTCACAGATACATGAGTCGTCAGACCCCAGGCTAGTCTCATTTTGGGTGCTTTTGGGTGCCTATAGGCATCTAACTTAATTTCTCCATGCATCAGTTGTTCATCAGTTGTCTTCTGACTCCATTGTACAGGTTCTAACTTGAACATCAAAGGTCATCTCCTGATGCCTGTATGGCAGAGGCTCCTATAGCTAAGTGAAGCTGTATAAACAGTGGCAGACAGAGTTTCCAAGACACGTGTGACTCTCTAGCTTTTTTCCTCCTTTAAACTTGGGTACTAAGTGCCTGTGCTTCCTCCACAGCTGCTGTCAGTGGGAAACATGGAGCTGAAGAGAAGAAAGACCTTTATAAAATCCAGCCTGCAGCTTTCCCATGAGAAATCTCAGCCCCTAATAACCACTGCCCAAACCAGAGAGGATGCTGGATTCTGGCCTAACTTGCTAGATGGACAGCAAAAGTCCCACAATGAGAAGGCCTTTCTGGCCAGCCCGCAGATCCAAGAATATGATAGATTCTCCAAGAAGGGAGCACAATTAGGCCCCAAGAAGAGGCCCACAGGCCTCTATGAAACCACTTTCAAAATGGAGCAAAAGATCAAGACTTATGACTGTGTTCTGGGGGCTAACACAGCAGCCACCATCTCAGGGCCACTCATAGGTAGTGCCAGTTTTCCTGGGCCTTCCAGCAGATTGGTGTCTGCAAGCAACTGCAGTGGCCAGGACATGATTGACTATCGCCACTTTGTGCCCCAAACGCCTTTTGTGCCTGCTGTGGCTAAGAGTATACCCAGGAAGAGGATTTCCCTGAAACACCCCAAGAAGTGCTTTAGAAACCTGCTCCACCTTTGCAGAAATAAGACTGAGAGCTTGGCCTTCTTGGCAACTAAGGGTAAGGCCCTGTCCTTGCCTGAGGACTCACCAGAGGCTGAACAGAGGCTGAGAACAGCCATCTTTCATCTGGGAGAGAGCCCAGGACCAGATAGCCTATTCCAAGACCTGTCTGACGGTGAGCTCCCATCTGATTCTTCCTTTGACCTCTGCAGGGCACTATGTGAAGATGTGGCCTCACTTAAGAGCTTTGACTCTCTCACAGGCTGTGGGGAGATCTTTGCTGATGAGAGCTCAGTGCCATGCTTGGAGCTGAATGAGGGCTCTAAAAGTGCACCCCAGAAACCCCAGTCCTTCCAAAACAAGCAATGTGCCCTGGTGGATTTATGGCTGGAGATGCCCCAGGAGCCAAACACAGGCCAACCAAGACTGGATGCAGCACAGCTGGCCCAGCTGCCTCTGTGCCCCTGTAGGAACCTTCATAGTGACTCTAAAGTCAGCTCCACAGACATTGGCACTCCCAAGAGTGAGCAGCCAGAATCTGTGTCTACCAGTGATGAGGGCTATTATGACTCCTTTTCTCCTGGCCTTGAGGATGACAAGGAGGTGACCCTGAGCCTGGGCATACCTGTGGCCACCTTCCTCCAGGATAGCTATAGTGGGGATGCCCTCTATGAGTTCTTCAACAACCCTTCTGAGGGCCTAGTCAGCCCAGCTCTGAATGAGGGGCTGTGTGTATCAGCGAGTGTGTCAGGGTCTGCCATGGACACACCCGTGTCCATATGCAGCTTCCACGTTGGAGCTGAAGAGAACCTGGCCCCATCACCTGCTCCTGATATACTTGGCCAGGGCTTCCTGCAGAGCTCATGGAAGGGCAAGGAGTGCCTGCTGAAACTCTGTGACACAGAGCTCTCCATCACCATGGGCATCGTCAACTGGCTCCGACGTTCTGGCCCTGAGTTCAGGGCTCCATCTGCCCCATCCTCTGGGTGCTCCTCAGTCCCACTTGGCCTCCAGGGAACTCTCAGAGGACTGGCAGAGAAGCTGAATGGCAGCTCAGAGGAGGCAGGCCCATGTGCAAAGAATGTGGAGGGTAATGGGAGGCAGCTCTCAGATATAGGCAGAGCTGCTGTATGCACAGAGCCCACTGGGAAGGAACCGTGGACACCGCTGGAAACTGAAGGCCTGCCTACAAGACAAAATAAGGCCCCAGGAATGCAGCAGGAGTGGGGAGCCCACAGGATGTCCAGGGCTACCTCTCTGGAGCACTTACAGGTCTCTGCAGAAGAGGACTTATTTTCTCCCATAGCATCTGTGCTCACCATGGCAGCAAACACTTCCAGCAAAAACAAGATCTCAGACCTCCCTACCTGGACAGGATCTGAGAAGGGACTCAGCCCCGCTATGAACCTGGGGTATCTACAAGGCCCCTGGACACTGGACACTCTTGAGCAAGAACCCTCCCTGATGGACTGTGTGGCCAAAGTGGAAGCTCTCCATTTTCATCAGGACAGTTAGAACTGGGTGGAGAGCCACAAGAGACAGGATGCTGTCAGTGGTCCTACAGACAACTGGCAGGCAGAAACCTGTCACTTCACAGCAGAGGAAGATGTGCCAATTACCAAGAACAGCCAGCACTTAGAGGCCACCATCTTCAAGTATTCCACTTCACAGCCCAGGAACAGAAGTGCCTGGGCCACATAGCCTGAGACTGAGATGACAAGAAGGGGCACAGAGGGATTAGCCGGATGCTGGGCTGGGCCCCTGGAGCCTTTCACTAGGAATCCGGGGTCTTGCTTCCCACAAGCAGCAGGAAGGAGCCAGTTCTACAAGTTCCCCAGCCTGCCTCAGTCATCCCCTGGTCCATAAGTGCTTTTGGCCTGGCCAGCCTCACATGTAGAGGATGTCCAGGTTAGCCCTGGTCAAGCCCCACAAGGACAGACACACATTCACAGGGCCTGCCTCTTGCTTCATTGTGCTCACAGTCAGCCACTTAGATCCTGAGACTCAAATTGGTGGTAAGGGAAAGGCAGGGCTTGGGCAAAAGGAGGGGCATTTTAACTTGTGCAGCATTCTTACCTAAGTCAGCACCAGTATTGAGAAGTCAAGAACAAGGATCATGACCCTGCTATAGAAGCCTTACTAATCTTAACAAAAGGAAGCAAAGATGTGGCTGTGGTGATTATAGCCATATATTTGGAGAGGCTCAGACTTGAGATTCATGAGCGCAAGATGGGTACATATCATAAATTCAAGGCAGACCAAGTTACTGTGTCTGTAATTTGAGTTGAAAATAAGAAATCAGGGGTTCTCAGAATGAGAGGGAGTAACTAAAATTTCAGTTCACAAAGTGAATAACAGGGAGTATCTGGGAATTCAGAGCCAGTTTACAAGGCTGGCTCTTACCCTCATGTCAGTCCCGGGACAGGACACCACATATACCTGATGGTTCCTGTCATGGCAGTAAGAGAAAAAGAGACTACTGTCACTACAGGAGCTGTAAAATGACAGATAAAACTGTGCAGACATTCAGCCAGTGACACTCTAGCCTAGTGGATCTGAGGCAATGAGCTCCAGTGGATTCTTTGCCACAATTATACTATGTAGTCCCTACTTGTTCTCTTCACTGAACTCATGGATAGCTTGATTTTTTTTGGGGGGGGGGATGGAGGGTTTTCAAAACTGTGTATTTTGTGGGCAAGTAGCAAGGTCTTCTGGCTCCTCTGTCACTCCATGTGTTAACTTCTGAAAACACTCTTCAAGAAAACACTCTTTCAGCTTGGTTGTACCTCAGGAAAGCCACATCACACACACACATGCACACACACACATGACATGCCCTGAACTAGGTGTGTGTACACCTCTGAGCAGGTGATCAGAAAGTCAAGTACAGATTCTAATTCTGTGATGCAGGAATAGAGATTGACTTGCTACTGGTAACATACCCATGTTATGTGAGACAAATTGCCCCATCCTTGTCTCAAAGGAGCATTTGGGCTGCACTGCTTCTAAGAGATTTGTTTATTCTTTTGACAGTCTATGGTATATTCAATATTCTTTGCCAACACGACAATGCAAAGGAGTAAATTCTTCTTTAATCTTGCTTATTCATGTGAGGCCATATGTATATGAGGTGATTGAAAATACCATGGCTCAGATCAGACATATATTAGTCCTCCAACAGGCATCCTTGCTCTTTAGCACTTTAAGGAGTTCCTTTGTAGAAGTGTTGCCTAATAAAATATGCCATTTTATTTCTTCACTGCTGCTTCCATGGGTATTGATTATGGGTTCAAGTAAAAGAAGATTTTTTATAACTCCATTTCTTTCCACTTACCATTATTTTTATTGATCCAGTTTGAACATTCTTCTTTTCTTTGTGTTGATATGTAATTCATATTGAAGGCTTCATTCAGGTTTGATGAAGTCTTTGAGCTTCATCAGTAAGTGCCTCAAATTTTGTTCTAGGCAACCAAGACTGTTTCTTCTGCATATTGCAGGTTGTCTATTAGTCTTTCTCTAATCCAGATCCCACATTCTTCATATAATTCAGCTTTTCTGATTATTTGCTCAGCACAGAATGAACAGGTATGGTATACAACCCTGATGATGAACACACACATGTCCTGATTTTAAACCATGCAGTGTCTTTTTGTTCTGTTCAAACAACTGTTTACTAGTGTATTTATGGGTTCCATATATGCACAATTAAGTGCTCTCTGGAATTCCCATTCTTCACAGTGTTATCTATAATTTGTTATGGTCCACACAATCAAGTGCCTTTACAAAGTCAATAAAGCATCTCTCTGATATTATCTGCTTTCAGTCAAGAGCCATCTGATATCACTTGAATAATATCCCTCATTCCATGTCTCTTCTTAATCTAGCTTCAGTTTTTGATAGTTCTCTGTCAATGAACTGCCAGAACTGCAGCCATTTTTAAATTAAATTCAGCAGAATCTTACTTGTATGTGATATTGATATTGTTCAATAATTTTTGCCTTCTTTTGGATTGGCTTTCTTGAAAATGAGCACATATGTGGTTCTTTTCTGATAAGTTGGCCAGATAACTGTCTTCTAAAAGCTTTTGCATAGGTAGGTGATAGATTTATGAGAAGAAGATGGTTGTTGTTGTTGTTAGGTGCCATCATCTCACCTATTACTCATAATGATCCTGTGAACAAAAGATCTGGATCTTGCCCTATCCTACACTGTCCTCAAGATCTCAGTCATACTCAAGTCAGTTGTGGAAGTCACTGTGTTAATCCATCTTGGTGAAGGTCTTCCTCTCTTTCCTCTCTACCTTCCCAACCCTGATGTCTCTCTCCAAGGAGTGATTCCTCCTGAAGATAAGCACCAAGTAAGTGAGACTAAATTTCACCAACCTTGTCTCAAAGGAGCACATTGGTTACAGTTCCATCAAGACAAACTGGTTTATTCATTTCACAGCCCAGGGGATATTCCATACTCTTCACCAGCACTACAATTCAATGGCATTGATTCTTTTTCTGTCATCCTTATTCTTTTTTGTGCTCTGAGATGCATAGGAAGCAATTGAAAGGCCATGGACTGGGAATAGGCACAAATATAGTTCTGATATAGGTGATAGACTTTTGGAAAAGAGGAGGATCACAAATTCAAGATAGATTAAGCCAATACATCTGTAGTAGTAAATAAAAAATGGACTGGGAGCTAGTAGAAAAAAAATGTGTATTTGCTTAATCTGTTTGTTGATACATTTCAGCTGGCATTACACTAATACCTCGAGCTTTGTTTATTGCCTATTCCTTCAGTGCAACTTGGACTTCTATCAGTACCATTGCTACCTTCTGAAGTGGTTGAACATTAGTTATTATTACTATTTACTCTGTGCATTCCTTCCATCTTTGTTAGGATGCTTTCCGTGCCATTCAGAATTTGCCATACAATTCTTAGGTGTTGCAACGGAATGATAGAATTTTTTCTTCAGTTCTTTCAGCTTGAGAAATATTAAATGTGTATCCTTTTTTGATTTTCTGATTCCAGATCTTTACACATTCCATTTTAGTGTTGTCATTGTTGCTGTATGCGGTTGAGTCAGAACCAACTTATAGCTGACCCTCCAATGGACTTTCAAAGACACATGGGAGGAGATTGTCCTTCCTTTTCATGTCCATGAAGCAGCCGGTGGATTCAAAACTGGTGACTTTGGTATTTCAGTACAGCTTCTAGGAAACCAGAGCTCCTTTGACCCATCCTTTGAAATATATTTAGCTCTTTTACTTCCTTATTTCTTCCTTTCACTTTAGCTTCTGAATATTCTAAAGCAAAATTCAGACTCTGACATTCACTCAATATTTTCTTTCTACATATATGATCTTTAGGTTCTCCTCCGTTTCAGCAAGCAGGGTTGTGTCATCTGCATAACACAAATTGTTCCACCAATCCTGATGCCACACTTCTCCTCATAGAGCCCAACCTCCCGGATAATCTGTTCTGCATACAGGTTGAAAAGTTATGGAGATAGGATGCATCCCTGGCGTATGCCCTTCCCAATTTTGAACCATGCAGTGTTTCCTTGCTCTGGTCTGACAACTGCCTC